GGTCTATACTGTGTCAGCCCACTAGAAAGGCCAGTCCAGGTCCAGGTCTGCAGACTGACCCATGTTGACGTCCGTCTCCAGTAGACTCATAATCACAGCCATGGCCGCGTCGTTGCTGGTGACGTCTCTCAGTCCTGGTAGAACCATGGGTCCAGTGTCTGGAGACTGGGACGACTCACCTGGGACGGAAACCAGAACTGGAAAAGAAACGGTTCAAACCTTTGACACAAGTGAATATATAATGAAAGACAACATCAGCTCAGATCTGAGGTCCGGGGTCTGGGACCAGCTGACCAGCTGACCAGCTGACCAGCTGACCGTAGACCCGTCAGCCTCTGGACCAATAGGAAGCTCAGAGCTCTGATGACATCACCGACTCTTCACCGCTGTCCTCACCTGTGTTTTCAGATTCTGTTCTTCCTGGTCCTGACTCAGTCCTGGATTCAGACTCTGACTCTGCCATACTGCCTGTAGCGCCCCCTCTGGTGAAGGCCTGTAAAAGACAACAGTTTCACAGAGGACCATGGACAGACATGTACCAGAGACCAGTCACCTGGTCTGACGGTGCTGTTTTTAACTACTTCCTGTTTCCTGCCCAGCTACTTCTGACTGGACACTGACCCGAACGGATCAGAACCAACACCAGTGTGTGTTACTCACACTCCTGCTGGTTGGTAGAGGAACTACAGGACACTTCTCCTGGACGGTGCAGAATGGACTGGACGCTCCACTGGACGGGGAGGAGCCGGTCCTGCTGACACACAACAGAACAACAGGACAGTCAGACACACCTTGACGTCCCCCCCACTACACACACATACTGCCATCTTGTGGCCAATGTCCTTCATTACACCAAAGTGTTCATGTAACTGACCACAGACACAGCTGACCTGTATGAATCCATCAGCTCGTTGGCGATTTGTGTCCCTATGCTGCCCACGTAGAACAGCGTCCCCGAATCAGTGGACAGTCCGGGGATTATGGGTATTTGGTCGGAGTCTTCTGTAGAAGTAAAAAAAAACTCAGATGAATAACACGTGCATGTGCACACGCACACACATACACAGTATTTACCTTGTGTGCTGCCTCCATCATCTTTGAGCTCAGCTGGCCCCCTGCTGGTGAATGGAAGAATAGCTTACTTTCTAAATATAAAACATGTTTTTTTTTCTACTGATGCTTTTGTTTTTACCAAACAAAATACAGAAAATATAAGATTAGAATTCAGTATCACTATTAGAAAGAAGTCCACATTCAGAGGACATCTGTGCTCCAACTACTACGTCCTGCTCTGATGATGTCATAAATACTCACCAGACAACCCTGTTGACAGACACGATGAACTCCACTTCTTTGGTCCATGGGTTTGTAAAACCAAACCAGTGACTTTGGAGTGTGACGTAGGAGCCGTGTTTGGTTTTGAACCTGTAGCGGCGCGTCTCCAGCTTCTCTTTGCTTTGGAGAACTGTCAAGAGATCGAGGACAGACGTCAAAGAGTGGAAGGAGCGGAGAAAAGGACAAAAGAGCTGCAGACCTGGGGGAGGAGGGGGAGGTGAAGGGGGGAGTCGGTACCTTGTCTGTGTCTCTCAGCCAGGTGCTGCAGGTCGTCCTGGTGGAAGTACTCGTAACACGACGTGCCCAGCAGCTCCTGCGGCAGATACCCGAGGACGGTGGTGGCCCTGTGGACGGACAGGACGATGGTGAGGGGGACTTGAACAGGTCTCCTGCCACTGCCCCCCCCCCCCCCCCCCCCCCCCCCCCTCCCCTGCCTCTCAGGGGTGTGTACCAGCCACGTCAGTCAGTTGATAAAGTGATTCACCAAACTTGGTGTGCTGTGAAAATTACGTCCCATAAATGAGAAGAGATTTTCATGTGATGTCATCGAGACGTACACCTCCCTCTGAGAAACAACGGCAAAGACAAACAGGATTATCTTCACTGCCATCGTCGCAGCCTCGGCCGCCGCCTCCTTCCTGCTACAACCACATCCACGCCTCACCACAGAGATGACAGGTCACACACAAGAGGTCGGAGAGAGGGACTCACTGTTGGTCTACAAAAGTGAACTTGCCGTCGATAGCACAGCGGGTGACGAACTCGGGGGGCTTGACCTGGACGTCTTTGGAAGAAGGGCGGTGGGACACCTGAGGGTGGAGACGACACGCCGTCACCAGACAGGGCAGACGTGAGGCTTCTCCTTCACTGCCGTCCTCTGAGTCCGTCTGCCCACTGGGCCACAGCCTCATGTAGCCGGTGCAGTGTAGGGTGCAGTAGCTGTAGGAGTCTGTGGGCCAGAAAACACCGAGGATCACTGGGAGTTCTACTCCTGGAAACGTTGATATTTTATCTCTTACTGTGAAACTATACCTCCAAAACACAGACACGTATTTTCTAATTCTGACGTAATTCAACGACTCTCCCTTCAGTTCTGTTCAATGTTCGTGATATTTCGTCTCCATGGCCTGTAGGTGGTGCTAAGTTCGCAGCTGAGAGTCCTTTTTAATAGCGTTTCCTGTGAATCTAACCTTGTAAACTGGGTTTGAATCCTTCAACAATGAATAACGAAACACCAGTTACTGATGATCCACTGGTTGAAGAAACAAACTCCTGTAGAGACTCTAGGTGGCGTGTTAGCTGTGCGCTACTGTGCTGTGTGTTATTTAGAGGTGAAGCTAACTCCCGTTAGCATCCGCGGCCTCATCTCTTCTTCGGGTTTTACCAGCAGATTTGAATCTTGTCTGTCAATTGCCGCCACCCACTGGCTGTATTAGGTAAATCATTCATTTAAAGGACGTGCTGCTCACGGCTAACACAAATAAAAGAACACGTAGAAACACTGCCGATGTAACGAGAACCAAATAAGTTCCGATAGCTTTTAACATCATACTAACCTACTGGGCCGACGCGACTCCTGCTAAGACAGGTACGGAACAAATGTATTAAAATGAGAACTAGTTCAGGACGTACTTTATAAAACAGCGGTTCGTGAAGAGCAGCGGGAGAGAAACGTTTCTAACGGACGGTTGTCTTTGTAGTTTTACCCACATTTGATTTTTTAACTACATATTTATTTGTATTTGTTGTTTGACCGGTTCATGAAAAGAGGGCCGTGATGCTAATGTTGTAGCGTTAGCGCACCGTTCTGTTTTGAGGTAGAAGGCAGTGATTGGTCGACTCCACACTTCCTGCTTCTGTGGACGCGCTTCATCCGACAGAAGAAGGAACGTCGGCCTCCAGTGGACAACAGTGACGCCATGAAGGAGGAGTCTGTCTGCACCGCAGCGCCACCTGCTGACACACAGTCACCCTGGGCTGTTAGCCTGTCCACCTCATCTGTCCACGTAGACTGTGTGAAGACTGACCTGCTGCTTCTGACGGAGGCGGTGGAGCTGGAAGGTCTGCGGAGGACAGCTGCTCCTTCACCTTGTTGATGTCTCTGTGGTGGATGAAATCTAAGAGGCTCTGCCCCGTCAGCTCCACCTGCACCCACCCACCGACCGACCGACCAGAGACAGGAAGTCAGTGTTTTCATGCTCCAAACCTCCATGAGTTTAATCAACAA